TCATTTTTCGGCCACAAAAAAGGTATTTGTGATCGCTAGATTAGTCGATAGATGTTTTAGCTGGTTACAATCATGAAAACTGCAGAACGGTTCTCCGCCATAAATTTGTAGGCGGGTGTCGAATCCCCGGTCTATGCGACTTCTCAGGACTGTGGGGGCCGAATGATCAACGGAAGGAGGCCAACCTACAGGACTGTACTCAGGGCTATGTACATGCAATCTGATTTAAATTTACTAAAAAACTATTTATTATCATTTGTTTGTATTTTTCACTTCTGTACTGGTAAAGTAGTTAGTCCTTTCTCCAAAACGTGGCGTTTGTTGCATAGCTTTAATTGCCACAGTGCATTTTGAAGTTCCATATCTTTATTGTTGGATCAATCACATAAGTACATGTGTTACTAATTGAGCAAAAGCGGTAAGTATATTTTATGATTGATACATTAAAATCATTTGTTTCCCCGAAAAGAACAATGAAATGCATCATAGTCACACATCCATGTAATACATGTAGGTGTTTTTCTGGCACATTAAGCAGATGAGCCACAGTAATTCATATTTAGTCGTTCAGCTGATGCTTTATCAAACTCAGGGTGTTAGTCTCTCAACTTAATCTAATTTTTTTCTTCTGAAATTGAGCAACAAATCAATATGTCATTTCTGTAAAAAAAAACAATTGAAAAACAAAATTGTTGTTGCAGTAAAATGTATGGAATGTTTGCAAATATTTCCTGTAAAATGCTTAGTGAATGTCCCATTGTCATTGTCTTGCAGATTTACACAAAAAGTGACCATACATTTTGAAATATTGTTTCTATTTGGAAAAAGTCTTAAATTTGTTCTGTCTTCTACATTTCCGGGTCAATATTTTTGTTGTTAATGCTAACAGTGCAAACACTTGTGATGTGGTTTCTTAGCTGGATGGTTGATTTATGAGTACAGCTTCTGTCATTCACATAAAAAATCACCCATTTTGCTATTTGCATGAGGGGAACACTGCAATATGTTAGTTAATTCTTATGATAGCAATACAATCAGTTCAAACAGAGTCTTCAAACAGACTCTTCACCAACTTTCATAATTTTGTAGTTAAAAAAAGTTGTTAAAAAACATTATATTCCAGAAACATTGGCTAATTTTGAACCCGGAACAACAGAACCAATATGTCAACCTTTGAAAACTTTGGAGTCTGTTTTGTCATGGCAACCAGGTGATGATTGTTTCAACATTGCTACGCAGGCACTTGTGAAGAATAATGTTGAAAAGAAAGTCAGACCACATACTTTGGTGTGTCATGATATGGCTGGAGGCTATTTGTTAGACAGGTAGAGTACTGAATGATCCATCCAACTTGTATTGGCTAAGAAGAATTAGTTAAATCATAACTCATCAGTCAAACATAAACACTTTAAAAAATACTCGAACTATTCATATAAAAGCCTCATTGTTGAATGCAGAAATTGAAGACAGTTTATTATTATTGTTTTTGATGTATATATATTGATGATTCTTCAAAGGTTTGTTCAAGGAGCTGACAGCAGTGAATACTACCGTCACTATCATTGGCAATATTTGGACAGTTTCATCTATTTTAGTCATTATTTTGTAACAATACCACCACCTGGTTGGACAAATGCTGCACATAAACATGGTGTTCTTATGTTAGGTAGGTGATTGCTATAAATGCTGGATTTTAACGCCACCATACCATGTCACATAGTAGCCTAGAATCTATGCACTTTTTGTGGACTCCGAGACATTCAACAATAAATATAGTGTTATTAGTCATCCTAATATATTCAAACATCACTTAATTGTGGTAGTAATAAAATGTTTTCAATTCAATTCAGTTCAGCACATAGGAATTCCCTAAATCATGAGATTTAAGATGATTGACACTGTTTATCGTGATATCATTTTCATTTTGATTGTTTTAATTGTACATCAATATTATGAGGTTATCACATGAATATCACATAAATATAATGAACAAATCAGCTGCCGTATAACAGATGATGCAGCCACATACTGCCTGAGTGCATACTTTGCATTACTCTTGTGATAAGATTATTATACATTATTTTCCTGTTTGTAGTGAGAATTTAATGAGAGAATATTGTCCAAATAGCAACAACACATGTTTTTTACACTGTGCAAATAGTCACGGTGATGGGATTCTATTTCCGTCATACACTATAGTGCTACTGACTGCAATGTAAACAAAGGAAAATGTTCAAATGTGATGTCAATAGCCCTGAACGCACCAATGTTGGTGAGGTGGTTCACCCCCATATGAAACATTCAAACAAGTGCTGATACATTCTGCAACATCTGGGCATACAGAAATTTACAAAAGTTTCGTGTGCACAACAACATCTAGTAAAAATGTTGCCAAAGAGTCTATATAACTGTAAATGCATTGGTAGTTAATAATTAATATGAAAATTACCACACCTTTTGATAAATCTGATATCATTAGTCACTCATTTGATATCTACTGTATGTAAGGTGTGCGAGTAGTTATATTTTCATTTACAGGGACGTTCATCACAGAATGGGATGACGGTCTTGAAAGATGTAAGGCATTCCTCAAAGATGAAGACACGTATAAATCTTTGGCTGATAAAATGGTTGCAATTACTAAGTTTTATAACTTTGATGGTTGGCTTGTCAACATTGAAAACAAAATTGAGGTATGCTGTCTTATAAAAACTCACAACAATTTATGCGAGGTATCATACAGCAGTTTTGGCAACCATTTCAGAAGACAAACTTTTCGGCTATGTGTATGTTATATAACATCAATGTTGCCTTAACTGGTTAATTAAACTAATACTGAAATAATAAAAGTAATATAGAAATATATAATAATAACCATATGTTACTGTTAATCAAATTTTAATTGTTAGTAGTTGCCATAAGAAACACAATCACACTATCACATGTGAATTATTTTAATTTAAAACATATCCTTAAAACAGTCAGTTATGAAATCTGATTAACCTTGCAAAACGTAAGAAAGCTATCTTCTTCACTTCATATTTATTATACGTATGCATAGAATCTGCCAGATGATCACTGTTTTTTATTTATTTATTTTTTTTAAAGCCAGAAAAAGTGAAAAACTTACTCGGTTTTGTTGAGTATTTAACAGTTGAATTACACAGAGAGATCCCGAATTCCAAGGTCATATGGTATGACAGCGTTATTGAAGATGGCAGCTTGAAATGGCAAGATCAATTGAATGATAAAAACAGGTACCTGGGTATATCCAAATTTATTGTGACCACATTGTATATAAAACTACCGGTATTGCAATTTGTACAGGCCATTGCCAAAATGTGGATACTGAAGGCACAGCATATATGCTCTATACCAATGTTGTATACAGTATTCTTAAAACTTCACTTGCAAGTGAAAAAAATGGTCTCCAGGTTTTGTCTTGTTTTCCAGAGGGCACTATATATTGAAATCCAGATGTGCAAGGCAAGCTGAATATGACTATATTTGTTACTCAGAATATAGCAAATCATTCTCCTCTTCTTACTTTATCATTTTCGTCTTGCCCAAATAATAGATTAAGGAAAATGTATATAGGGTAAGGTGAAAATGCCTGTGTCCTCCTCGTTGTCGCTTCAGCATAAACTTTATTTTCTGGTTACAATAACTCAAAACAAATTTATCATCTTTTTCAAACTTGGATATTTTATTAACCAGTTTAGGATCTTGATTTTCGGCATGTTTTGTATATATAAATATTTAAAGATATTACCACATTTTTGACAGACACCTAAT